AGGGCCGCGAGCGGCGCGGCGAAGGACGCGGCGAGCGACCGCGCGGCCCGCGGGCCCGCGGCGGCGGCGACGGCGACGAGGAGCCGCGCGCGCGCGCGGCCCGCGCGCGACTCGGGCGCCGCCGCCGCGGCCGCGGCCGCGGCGCCGAGGCCCCGGGCCGCGCCCGCCCAGGCGCCGCCGCCGCGCGCGGCCGCGGCCGCCGCCGCGACGCGCGCGGCGGCCGCCGCCGCCGCGCCCGGCGGCGCCGCGTCGAGGACCGCGCCGCCCGACGCCGCGGCGCACGCGGCCTCGGCCGCCGCGCCCGCGCCCGCGCCCGCGCGCGCGGGCGCCCAGGCCGCCTCCGCCGCGCGCGCGAGGAGCTCCAGGGCCTCGCCGACCTCGCACGCGCGGAGGTCGCCGGCGTCGCGGAGCGCGTCGACGGCGAGGGGCAGCGCGAGCGCCGCGACGGCGGCGTCGGCCGCGAGCGCGCGCCGGAGCGCCGCGCGGAGCGCGGCCGGGTCGACGCCGTGCGGGTCGCCCGGCGGCGGCTCGAAGGACACGGGGAAGTAGGGCGCGAGCGCGTCGACGAGCGCCGCGGCGCCGCCCGCGCCCCAGCCCGCCGCCGCCGCCGCCGCCGCGACGGCCTCGGCGGCGGCGAGCGCGGCGCGGAGCCCGCGCGGGTCGCGCTCGCCGTCGAGCGCCGCCGCGAGGCCCGCCGCGAGGCCCGCCGCGCCGCCGCCGCAGCGGCCGTCGGCGACCGCCGCGGCCGCGAGCGCCTCCGCGAGGCCGTAGAACGCGAGGCGCGCGGCCGCGCCGAGCCCCCCGACGCGGCGGCCCCGCGGCGGCGCCGCCGCGCCCGGCGGGGGGAAGACGTCGCCGAAGACGGCCGCGCGCGCGGCGGCGCCCGCGGCGCCCGGCGCGCGGCAGAGCGCCGCGGCCGCGCGGAACGCGCCGCCCGCGGACGGCCCGTCGTCGAAGCGCGCGGCGACGAACGCCGCGAGCTCGCGCGCCTCCGCGGCCGTCGCCGCGCCAAAGTGCTCGACGACGAGCGCGAGGAGCAGCGCGCCGCGGCCGCGCGCGCGCGCGTCGGGCGACGCGAGCGCGGCGCCGGCGGC